GTAGCTGTACATGGGGAGTCAAAGATAGAACAGATTTAAATCCCCTAGCGTCAGGGCACAAGCCAGTGACTAATTGAGGGGCTCGGAGGTGTGAGGCATACAGATTTATTAAGGGGGGACTGGTCGGCTTTGGCTTGGCCCGGTTGGTATCCACCACCCCAGGCCCCACAACGCTGATGGAAATAAATGATCAACACATAGGTCATCTTTCCCTCGAAAGCCAGCAGGTTCCAGGTCTGGTGCCTGTCCCTGGAGGACTCTGGGACAGTTCTAGAGACCAGCCTTCGGTGGGACTTGGAGTCTCCTCTGGCCCCCTGACGTCTGGGGAACAAACAGCCGAACTGTTCACGTTTCCATGGTACATATTTAACCAGCTCAATAACCGAAACACGGAAAAATGAAAGAACGTTAATCACCTGGCTGAGTACAGTAGCTGGTGATTTAAACCACCCCAAATAAATTAACAGTGCCTTCTACGAGCTACATAACACTCCAGGAAGGCGGCGGATCTGTGTAGCCAGCAGTACCACCATAATAGGGCATCCTTAACCTTAAATACTAAGTGATATATTTTGGTTCCAGCCAAAGAGCTGATAGAGGTTGGGTCAGATCGCGCCCTGATTGAAGTGAAAATTGCCGTTAGAGCCGTCCGTTCCATGAAGGCAGCCTGCCCAAATGATGGCTGATTAGGTAATCTCCCACGCCACACAGTAAGTTCCAATAAGGCTGGTTGTCGTATGACTGTTCAGTGCAAACGTAGGTGAAAACAACAGGATTTCTCAAGGTTCAACGTACAGATCCTAACCCCCAAAATCCCTGCACGTGTGATAATGAGGTTGTTTGACGTAGGGACCTGAGCAACTACTTGATAGGCGCTACGCTCGTGAGCTCTCATGCACAGGCGCCAACTTTGTCATTTCCAGCGGGGTGCTCGCCCCTTCCCACCTCCGCCACACCCTTGCTCCATTCCGCCTCCTCCTCTGAGGACATGCCACCCTCACTCTGCCCTCTCCCTCCCAGCACCTCCCGTGCACTGTGGAACAGCTGATCGCGGCAGGTGCTGGGAGGGAGGGGGATGAGCTGATCCAGCCCCAGAGGGAGCACCCACAGAGTCAGCACCCAGCTCACTTGTATTAAGGTCGATGGACTTGCAGGCTCGCTAGCGGTGACTCACTTGGTGTCAGATCTTGGATGCCCCACGTTGCTGACTCCTACCTCTCAGTGGCCAGCTGGGGTGGGGTGAGGGGGAGGGGGGGGGGGGGGCGAATGAAGCTCAGGGCACTTTGTGTGGCACGGCCAGAGGCCAGCAGCCAGTGCAAACCGGCCTAACAAGTGAAGACCAAAAAGCCAGAACAAAGGTTTCTTCCTTTCCTTTGGTTTTTGCAGATGATGACCCAGCTGGCCCC